TATATATATATATATATATATATATATATATATATATATGCTAGACAACATCATGCAGGAATGAGACCTACCACCAGGAGCCAGAAGGACTCACACTAAGAGGGCTCTCACAACAAGAGAGCTTCTTGGCAACGTCTGGGCACTTCCTGTGAGTCCCATACACAGAGATGGCCAGCAGCAGCACTTACCCTGCAATCAGCTGATCTTCACAATGACAGAAACACCAGGAAAACGGGTCAAGGCAAAGGAACAGTACTGCTAGTCCTGCAGGAGGGGTAGGCAGATGTGCGTAACATTGTTGATTCCAGCAAGTCTATTTCTGTAGAAGTTGAGCAATTTCCTTGAAATCCAGTCGGTGTGAAGTACTTGGAGTCAAATGCTGGGTCAGCATCCTAACTTAGATGGTCAGCATTTGTTTTTAAGTAGGAGACTGTTCCATGTTGGTGTTGAAAGAATGGATGCACGTGTTCAATTTCCTCAAATTGGCAGTGCCCTAAATAGATCATTAAAGGGATTGTTTGTAGTCTACTAAAAGAGATGCCAGAGGGACCCTAAAACCCAGCATATATTCACTAAGAAAGGAGCTGCCACAACACTCACTATTTCTTTCTTGTTTGTTCATTTGTTTGTTTTGGTTTGGTTTTTGGTCATAAGTATGGAACTGCCCTGGCAGACAGAAAGCATACTATTTAGCCCAAAAGCCAATTCTCAACATAAAACATTAGTTGAGCTGATGTTTAGAAGTATGGTGGTGGCACACTTCTTTATTCCCAGCACTCATGAGGCAGAGGCAGGCGGATCTCTGTGAGTTCGAGGCCAGCCTGTTCTACAGAGCGAGATCAGGACAGCCAGGGCTGCACAGAGAAACCCTGTCTCGAAAAACAAAAACACAAAACTTTGGTTGAGGATAAGTATCTTCAACTATGTCAAAGTACGTGTGATAAAACTCAGGCCAGCTCTGCAACGCCCTCTTTAAACATTATTTGATAATCCTGGGAACCTTTTCATTGTCTGCTCTAGTTAAGTGGCTCTCCATTCATCTTCAGTTACTCTCCCTGTATTGTGAAAAGTTTGGATGCTTCAGAACTTCCTTGGGGACTGATTACTGGGAATGAGTTCAGTGGTTCAACTATTTGCCCTGCATTACTTACATGACAATCTGCTTTAAGCAATTATGAGGAAATAATAACTATAAATGAAAACTAGAAAAATTGCATCAAGTCACACTCAAGTGACTTGCATGAGTGTATAGGGCTTCCCACATGCTTTTCTGAGGACTTCATGTGATCTCTTACCTACTTTCTAGAACTTGGGCACTCACATATTTTTTTAAATGATCTCTTGATGGTTAGATATGTGCATTATTCTAAAATGATTAATGAACATTTAGATTGTTTTGATTATCCCACAGTATAAGCAATACCTGATAAAGAGTATGTGGCTGGAAATGAATTAGAGATAACAAAAGTAGAGGCTGAAGAGATGGCCCAGTTAAGAGCCCTGGCTGCTCTTGCAGAGGACCTGCCTCCAGTTCCCAGCACCCACATGGTGGCTCACAACTGACTATAAGGCCAGTTCCAGAGGATCTGATGCTCTCTTCTGGCCTCCACTGGCACCAGGCATGTACATAGTACACAGATGTGCAAGCAGGCAAAACACTCATGCATATAAATCAAAGTAAATAAATCTTTTTCAAAAATTAAAGAAAAAGCAAAAGTAAGCATGGACAGAAACATATAGTGCCAATTTCCTGATAATTCTCTTCAGTAATATCCAAAAACAATGACAAAGTTTAAAAGACACTAAATGGCATTATCGTCTTTTTAACCAGATGATAGTCTGTTTTTTAAAGATTTATTTATTTATTATGTATACAGTGTTCTGCCTGCATGCATGCCTACACTCCAGAAGAGGGCACCAGATCTCATTACAGGTGGGTGTGAGCCACCATGTGGTTGCTGGGAATTGAACTCAGGACCTCTGGAAGAGCAGTCAGTGATCTTAACCTCTGAGCCATCTCTCCAGCCCTAGATTACATTCTTGATCATTACTCTTTTTTTTTTCTTGTTTATTAAGTCTGGCTAAATTAGTGGAAAACAATAGCTCAAGGAAATGCAACAGACACAGTGCACTTGAACTTGAGTGTCATGTCAGCTCCATCCTGGTATTGCTAGAGAGCAGCTCCGGACAAGGGAGCTGAGCAGGTTATCACATTCCGAGGGTGCACACAGCAACCTGGGAGAGGTGAAGTGACTTACAAGGAAAGTCTGTTTTTAATCCTTCCTTAAAATGCATATCTATCGGTATCTTGGATACATATGTTTAATAAATACCTAGAGAAACAATTTTTAAAAAATATGTTCGTCTGGGACCAAGATGAAAACCCAGACAGATCTTAACAGGCTGTAATAACAAGCTGCAATGGTGAGAAATATAAGATCATTTTCTGTGTTCCATAAGTAAAAAAGCAGATAACAGAATGTCTCAGTGAAGTTCGACATGATTTTTGGTGACATCATCAGAAATGTAAGGAAAACAGCGTGTGGGGTGGGGTATGCTATACATCACAGCCCGTGACAGTGATGGCCTGTGTCAAAGCCCCATAGCCCACGCGACTTTCATTGCTTGGGAGTCCACATGGGAAGCCTCGTTTCCCTGAGAACCCTGAAACTCCAATGTGAGCGAGGGCAGCTGATTTCTCACTCCCGAAGTTCTTTTGACTAAATATTCCTGAGGCCTCTGTGGGGGGTCGGCCTGCCAGGGCAGGAGCAATCTCTGAATCTCTACACATGCAAAGAACAGTGATTAGATTTTTATAACAAGTCAGGACTCTTCAGGGAAAGGACCGTATGAAAAATACCCTCCGTACTATGGCAAAGAGCACGGGCAAGGTTCCAAGTGGTGGAAAAGCTGTAGGCTGTGCATGGCAGAGGCCCGTCTGCTTCACGGCATGAGCTCGGGCAGCAGCCCGGGCTGAAGACATTGTGAGCCTAGTCTGGTGTAGACTTAAGACCCTGGAGAGAAAGGAAGCCGCTCTCTGAGGCTGGCCCTGCTGCTGACACTATTCACTCCCGGAGCAGAGGTGTCTGTATTCCCGTTTGGTTTGTTTCTACAGGGGTTGGTTTGCTCACTTCCTGGGTCTGTGAGCGTTTTCACCCACCTTCATCTGGTGGCCACCGGCTAGAGGATGCTGCTGTCTGATCCGACTCTCGGAGAGGCGGGGTTTCCATGGCGGCTTATATGGGGTAACTAAAGACAAAGGATGCCTAATTGTGACTTAGGAGCACAGGCCAGGCACTCGCTTGACCATCTGGCAAAACGCTTTTCTCGGGCTGTTTCCACCTGGGTACGAATAGAGATGTGAAGCTTCTTAATGAGGACTGAACAAGCTGCTTGGCATGGTCCTGGACTCTCGAATGGAAATGTCCGTTGCTAGTGTGACTGGTTTGAATTATCTTCTCTCCCAACACTTTGCTCACTAAGCTGAGTGAATATTGATTTGAGGGAGAACATGACCTTTAGGGCTAGATGCAATGACAAAAAACTACCGTTCAGAAGAAAGAGCCAGCTGTGAGCATCATCTCTCACCCACAGTCCCAGCAAACACAGTCTTAGCGGCCTCTGGAACAGCGGTTCTCAACCCCTAGGGGGGTCGAACGACCCTTTCACAAGGGTGGCCTAAAACCATCAGGAAACACAGATATTTACATGACAATTCACAACAGCAGTGAAATTACAGTCATGAAGCAGCAATGAAAATAACTTTATGGTTGGGGACCACCACTAGCTGAGGAACTGGATTAAAGGGTCACAGCGTTAGGACAGTTGAGAACCACTGCTCTGGAACCATGTCCTGTGGGCACGGAGATACCTTGTAGTATATGAGAGCTCAGTGTGATTCTCGGAAGCTCTGTCACTAGTAAGTGGACATCCTCCCACCCTTGGACTTCTAAGAGAGCGGTACAAGCACACATCCAAATGCGAGCCAGCGAGAACACTTTCTAACTCACGCCAGCCCCACCCAGGCTCTCCCTCAACACCCACCACCAGATCCCCTATGAAGTGATTCCAGCGAAACTCCGTTCCTCTGTAAATAATTCAGCTTGTGTCCCAAAATAAAAAAACAAAAAACAAAAAACAAAAACAGGACTTTGTTTTAGCACGTCCATTTTTCCCAAGGTTTCATTTTTTTTTTTAAATGGATAGTTGAAGCAATTCAGTCCAAAGTATTTCAAGGCAACAATAACTCAGTATCCTTTAAATGGGATAATTTTGTGCTGGAATACATGAAAAAATATTTTTACCTAATTCAGAGTTTTCAGGCTCTTTTCTCATTTTCACATCTGAAATTGAGGTGTCCCCTGCAATGAGCCAAGGATGTTTAATTAACAATGTTATCTTTCCTGCTTGGTGCAGTCTAATAATGCATCTCACAGAGAACGGTGTCTTAGGAATGGAGAAGCACAGAGTTGAACAGTAAGTCAGTGTGTCTCTAAAACTACCTGCCCAGATGCCTGTTTGCATGTTTTCTTGTACATATCCTCACAAATAACAAAATGAAACACATTTAAAGCAAACACTGTACAAGTCCTAAGAAAGTAAAGTAAACATTTTCCTCAGCATCTTGGGTACAACCTGGGGACCGTGGCAAAGGGGTCAAAACTGCGTGGGTATTTTATCCCTTGAGGTACAGAGCATGTCCAGTGTGAAGTCTGAACTGTTGAGATAAAGTTCTCTCTCTGTCTCTGTCTCTCTCTCTTTCTTCCCTGGTCAAGCCTTCCTTGTCACCACTGATACCCTCATTTGTCCCCAGAGCTTGCTAAATGAGCATAGCAGGGGGTGCTGAATGTAACCAGAGAGGAAAAGGAGGAAGTAAGGTGACCCCAGGGCTCGGTGACACATGATTTAGCGGGGAGGAAACAGCTAGTAGTTGCCGTGACCACACCGGTGGCTCCTGTGTTAGCTAATTTGGCAGGCAAACACAGCCTTGTATGTTTTTAGAACTGCATGGTGAAGAAGATGTAAAGTTCTCTGGTGTGATGGGGACTCAAGACTGGCTTGTGGTTTATGAATGATCAGCTGCTAGTTCTCCAAGCCTCGTTGTCCTGAGATTTAAAGAGATCCATCTAACGGAAGCTCTCGGGATGCATTACGGATAGAGCAGGGATTTTCAACTCTTCTTGCTCACTGCTTCGTCTCCAGAACCCAAGGCAGCATCTGACACATGCTCAGTGTCCTGAAGACACTGAGTAGATGGATGAGTTCTTGCTTTCAGCGTGAGACTGGTGCGGCTGGGGTGGGGGTGGGGTGTCATTTACTCCCACTAGTTTAAATGATCTAAGAATGTTCACTAAACGCTACGTATAGCGAGATGTTTCCCATATAGGCGGTCAATGGACCCCTTTTCAAACAGGCTCTGGTTTTACTGTGGTTACCAGCACATTTGAAAACCATGTAATTAACATCATGCAGCACATTGGGAAATTCGGGGACAATAAGAGCAAACACTATACAGTTCTTTGGGCCAAGACTCTAAGCACTTTGACTAATCGACTGATCTATTCTTGACAGCTACATAAGCTATAGATGCTGTGACTGTTTTTATTTTATATAAAAATGAGGTAAAGAAGGATGCAGTGATGGCATGCCATTCAAACCTAAGTGTCTAGCAACGGACTGTTCCGAACTGCCAAGCTGTGTAATGTTACCAAGAGTCTCCTTTCTACTGAAGGGTAGTGACACCTGAGCTAAAATTATGAATGAGGTCACTCCCCACCTCTAAACGCTATGATTCTATACAGTGTATTCTGCTCAACTTATTAGTAACATTGAGACAGCAGTCTAAGGTGAATTCAGAGACCCATTTGCCATTCTCTTGGGATCCACGGAGGCAACCTGTAAATCTCCCTCTATTTAGAGGTTAGGAAGCCAAGGAATGCAGTCCCCAGGAATTTCACGCGAAGTCTTAGGTCATGAGTGTTCCTATCTTACCACATAGCCTGGGCCTATTTCAGCCCTAGCCCCTCTTCCTGCAGGTCAGAGGTCATGCTCTGCCTTGGTTGGTTACAGGTCCCCGTGGTAAATCGCACAGTCCACTGACTCTTTAATCCAATAGCTTGAGCTGAAGCAGCCAAGTGACACTGATTTATGACCTTCCCTCTTGGGGATCTCCTTAAGCAAAATCACAACACCCAAGAGAGCCTTGAAGAGAGTTAGAGCTTGGAATTCATTTTCTTTTAGGTTTGATCGCTCCCTTTCCTCCCATTTCAGATCAAGCTCTTTCTCAACTGTGGCCTCTGACAGCCATAGAGCTTTCAGTTAGTTAAACAACATTAGTTAGCCTCATTATGGGAAGAAAAATAGGAAAACCCGAACAAAGACGCATTTCATCCTGCAAGAGAAAATACGTCCCAGGTAGTAATTACTCCACTGTCTGAAATAATCCCATTAGGCATTGCCTTTCCATTGCAGTTCACCAAGGGAACTGGCATCAGACTGGGCTGGTGGGAGGAAACATTGCATCCATTCAGCTGCTGGTCAAAGGGAGAGCTTAAGTGCAGAATTAATGTCCTGTCTCAACAGTAACAAGATGGAGTATTAGCATAGTGTTTTCCCCTCAATTTGATCGCTTTCTGCAGATTCTGTAGCATGTGTGTGTGCATGTGTGCATGTGTGCGTGTGTGCGTGTGCGTGCGTGCGTGTGTGTGTGTGTGTGTGTGTGTGTGTGTGTGAGCATTCACAAGTGGAGGTCAGAAGTCAATCTCACATGTCATTCTTTGTGAGAGACTTCTGCTTTTTTTCAAGCCAGGATTTTTACTAGAGGCTCCCCAAGTAGGCTAGTCTGATTGGTGATGAGTCTCAGGAGCCCGCCTGTCTGTCGCCCCAGGACTGGGCTCAGCAGCCTGTCTGTCTGTCTGTCTGTCTGTCTCCCCAGGACTGGGCTCACAGGCAGTCACTCCTCCCTGCGTACACGGGCTCTAGGGATGAACTCAGGTCACCATGCTCACACAGCACTTTCTCACCTGAGCTGCCTCCCTAGCCCGAGGCCAGTACTTCTTCACATTTTGATAATCGGCTTCCACAGCCTATGAAGAATGTCACAGAGCTGTTCCCCTAAAAACTTAATGTAAATCAGGGGCTGGGGTGAGAGCCCAGCAACTAAGAACATGCAATACTCTTCCTGGGGAGCCAAGTTCGAATCCCAGCACTCACATTAGACAGCTCACAACCTCCTCTGACTCCATCTTGAGAGGATCCAACTCCTCTGACCCTCAGGCAGGCTCCTGCATTCACATACACATATCTACACATAGACACATAGACACACACACACACACACACACACACACACACACACACACACTTTAAAAGAATAAAAGCAAATACTTTTTAATTTTTTTGTATGAATTGAATAATATGGTAAGGGCATTAGTCTTTCTTTGGTCCAATCCCACCCAATAAGGCAGGACCAGCTAGATGGTCAAGAACCTACCTTACCTGAGAAGCAGGAGTTACCTTTGAGTAATCTGGCTTGTATTTTTGGATGCTTTCTTGATAGATCCCTGACCTTCCAATGTTGGCCCCAAGAGCCAGCTTCTGCCTTCAGCCTTATCATTGTGACACCGACAACATGGCTTATAAAAGGTCTACTGCACTCTGCCCTCTATACCTTATTGGTTAGGATGGGTTGGTGAGAGAGCAACAGTAACTTATTTTAAAGTTTGGTAACTGTCCTAGTTTGCATCTCTGTTTCTGTCCTAACACACTGATGAAAAAGAACTTCTTTGGCTTACATGTTACAGTTAATCCGTCATTGAGGGAAGCCAAGACATGAACTCAAGGCAGGAGCTGGAAGCAGAAACCATGGAGGAATGCTGCTTACTGGCCTGCTTCCCTGGGTTGTCTCCACTAGCTTTCTTTTATTTATTTGTTTGTTTGTTTGTTTTTGTTTTTCAAGACAGGGTTTCTCTGTGTAGTTTTGGTGCCTGTCCTGGATCTCACTTTGTAGACCAGGATGGCCTCGAACTCAGAGATATCTGCCTGGCTCTGCCTGCTGAGTGCTGGGATTGAAGGTGTGTGCCACCAACACTGCCTGGCTAGCTTTCTTATATAACCAAGCCCACCTGCCTAGGAATGGTGTTACCCACTGTAGGCTGGCTGCTCCTACATCCATTAGAAATGAAGAAAATGCCCCCTCAGATAGGACCACCAGCTAGTCTGATGGAGGCAACTT